TACAAACCTAAAAACGCCAAGTGGTAGAGATAATATTATAATTTACTAATATATAATATACAATATTTTAATATCAACCATCATAAATAATATATATAATAATTAATAATAAGTAATAAAAAAAAATGAACTACAAAAGATTATAATGGTTATACTACATAAATGATTAATAATATTATAATATGCTCAAAAATTTTTTTTAACTCGACAATGTAGATTGTTTAAGTGATTCTTTATTGTTCTTTTAAAACTATAAATTATACGAGCTTTTAAAATCTTAGCCATGATAGCAGCTTAGTATATACAATAGTTATTGTAATTTATAACAATAGTTATTATTAGTATAATAATATATATTATGTGTAGATAAAAGAACCACCACAGTTTCATATTTTCATGTGTCTATAAATATTTTGGAACACAAATCAATTGAATATTTATTAATTTTGTTCTTCTGAAGTAAGTTCTTAATTCACACCTGCGTCTTCCTTATTTTTATACTTTTTCCTGGATGTAAAAGAAAGTACTTTAAATTTGATTTTACGATATGAAATCTTAAATTATTATATAATACAGTATTAGGTGTGTAAGTAGATATAGTATTGACATTTAATATAAAAGAATTTCAAATTATAGTTAAATATTGATGAATCCAACATGCGCATATCAGTAGTTGCGTTCCTAATGTCCAAATTATGTCCTTAAAAAATCTATCATAACGTCTACGTTGCTTAAAAATAATAATATTTGAATTTAACTCAAAAGAGCAGTTTTTTATAGGCCTAATGTAAATTATAATTTTTAAAACAACGGTGTTACCATCATTCTGTCATTATTATGCACCCTGACATTGCGTGTCTCGTCATCAAATATCACGTGCGATGGAAGTTAACGTAACTCGCATAACAGTTATTCAAACACAATCTTTACTTACTTAGTGCGAACCAATTGTTTAGTCAGCTTATACAAAACTTCAACTACTTCAAATGATTCTGTCTTTCCGTTAATTTCTACAARMTATATTAATAGCTCTTCATTCTTTGAAGGGACTTATTCCRCGTAAAAAAGTAAAAAAAAACATTTCTAGTACTTTGAAAAAAAAATTTCCACAAATAGAAATGAAAAATTAATTTTGTGATTTCATAAATCATTCCGAATTTCATGCGTAAAACTTAATTATTTTTGTATACCTACGATAAAATAAGTCTGTGATAAATGTTACTGTAACTTAAGAGTGGTAGGTATTTACACGGCTATYTATAAATGTTATCTAATACAAATATACCTGTTAAGTCTAGGTAAGTCAAACGTACTGAAGAAAAAAAGATTCAAAGTTTAAACACAACGCACAACTGCAGTATGTAGGTATTACCGAATTATCAACTTAAAATCCTTAATACCACTTGTATATCGTCACTATACTTTCTAAACTAGACAATATATATAAAATGATCATTCGAAGATCTGATGATATGGTTTCAATCGTTCTTAAAAATATCTTTGACGGTCTTTAGACAGCTTTTTCTTTTCTTAGTAAAAATAATTAAGAGTTTAGAAATACAATTTATATAATTAGGTATATGAATATGGAAAACATGAATAAAGCCCAAAAATCATAATTTTTAAAAACTATATACAAAGCTTTTAAGTAAAAAATTTATAAACCTATTAAAATAAATGTCATTGCATTTTTTGAACGATATTTACCAAAAAAATCCATAGAATCACTTTATAAACCTATTAAAATAAATGTCATTGCATTTTTTGAACGATATTTACCAAAAAAATCCATAGAATCACTTTATAAACCTATTAAAATAACTTTTTGGATTTAATTAATGGACACACAAAAAAAAAAATGATTCCACTTAATTTAATCACTATAAACATTAAGATTATATATGATCTTAGTACAAAAAGTTACATGATTAGCCACGTAAAGTTCAATGTATCCCAAATGACTTGGGCAAGAGTATAATGTACTTTTATACAAAAATACCTAACCCAAAAATTAAAATAAATAACATTAAACATATTTACGACAGAAACATGAGAGTTGGTATACCATTAATAAATATTTGTTTTATAAAACCCCCAGGTACCTACATATAATATATGTTCACTACACGT